AGAAGCAAACCCTCTAATTCAAAGACCGGTGGTAAAGATCGCTACAGGTAGCATGAACCGATACCCTCGCAGGAAAATTATAATGGCCTGACAATATGCGGGCTTTTGCCACATCTATCTCACTAAATTTGACATAAGGAAAGGTTTCTCACTGGGCGTCATACCCAGAAATAGAAAGTTGAGACATAGTGAGAACTAGAGAAAAGGGTCAAGAAAATCGGAATGAAAATTTTTCTAGTGAATGAAGTAGAAGATACTCAAATGAAAGCGGTGAAAGCCAAAAAAGAAGATGTACAATTTTAAAGGGATTTTTGGCAGTACAAATCCCTCCAGAAAGGCGTAATGAGTACCTGTCCATCGCATTAAATGCGTCTGCCAAGTGTTACAAAACGTGGGGACTGGGCACTACTTTCAAGGAGGCATCTTCGTCATCATGGGCACACAACCTCAACTGAAGAAAATCGCCAAACTTGGGGAATACAAAAAGACAAGGTAAAAGATCTAAAATGACCCTAGTAACCCTAAACAGCTCAGCCACAAATACTCAACTCGAACTTTAAATGTAAAATGTTTGGGCTCGTAAGGAAGAGCCCTCCAAGAGCGCGACTCAACTAAGGTAGGTAAGCTTGATGTGAGTTAATTAGGTTGGGACAAGGCAAACTTTCTAAGCAGCTCAGCCATGTGCAAGATATCAACAAACAAGTCAGCACATGGGAGTCCCCACTACCAGATGAAAACCTAAAACCTATAAACGAAGCTCCATGCAACTTAGAGGAATACAGTCTACCCTTCTTGTCCCTCCAAGATTAAGAGCTGTGGAAGGTGCAACAAAAAAAAAGGAGGGGAAAGAGAGAGGTGAAAAATAGGCAGGCACACAAAATCATTTAAAATGAAAGAGCAGTGAGAAGGGGCATTAAAAGCAGAGAGTAAATCCAAAATTAAAAGGAATATAAGTTTTGTTGAGAAAGGGCATTAAAAGCAAAGAGTAAAGCCAAAGTTAAAAGGAGCATAAGTTTTTCTGCAAGTCCAAACTATAGGTATTCGATTACAGATCCTAATAAAATTCAACACCCTATAGACAAGAACTATGCAACGAGCTCAAGGCGATTTGCCTCTTCAGTATGCTCAGCTCTAGACCTTTCTGTAGGCTCCTTAGGTTTTGACGCCTCAAATTCCAACACTAAGGAGTCCAGATCCAGGTCGGGGTACTTCCTCTCAACCTGTTCCTAAAAGTTCATGAACCCTTGCACGAAGGCGGAGGCATTCACATCGAGGAGTTATGCAATCTTCCCATCTTTGGCTTTCAATCCCTCCATTTTTTTCCTTTAACTCCTCTTCCTTCGCCTTCAACTCCTCTTTATTTGCCTTCAGCTCGACATCTTTCCTTTTGATGAAATTGCCAGCATTCTAAAGACGGTTATCCAGTGCAGCGTTGGCCCTCTTCATCTTTGCCAGCTCAGCGTTAAAGACAGTTTTCGTCTCGTCGACCAAGCCTTTACCTGCCTTAGCCGCATTCATAGCATTCAACACTCCTCCCAGCTTGCGCTCCTTAGTACCAAGGTCTTTCCTTAGCTGTTGTTTGGCAAGCTAGAGCTTCTCAAGTTTAGAGCGGAGGGTAACTTGCTCAGAGGATTGACCTACTAGCATACTCGACACATGCTGGTGGTGGCCTAGTAGCAAAAACACATACCGTAAAAAAAATTAAAAAAAGAGCCCGAATGTCGTGCTCAAGGAAGCAAGAAAAAGGACACAATACCTCAGCCAAAATCTAAATGATGTGCTTGGTCTTACTCTTAAAGCTAATCTTCATCACTTCCTTAGGGTCCATGGTAGGTACCAAGTCAGTTAGCGCATCCATAGTTACTTTAGGATCGTGAAGGAACCCACTACCCCTGATATCCATTTCAAGAGGATCCTTTGCAGTCTTTACTCCTTTAGAGAGCGTAGTTGGAAAAGAAGCAAAAGTGATCCCGTCAAGCTCAGCTCCAACAATATCTTACTCTCAAATCTAATCTTCATAGCTTCCGGCAATCTCTTACTCTTAGTGATCATAAGGAATTGTCATCCTTAGAGTAATCATTGCGGTAGAAAAGTCAAATTTAACCCCAGGATGGAGCTTGAAGGTCATCCCCCTGACCTGGGACTGGGGTGCAATTGATAATGATTGGTTAAAGTCTGGATCCCTTTAAAGCCCAAGACCCTTTGGGCTTGCAAAAAGCGACCTAAGTAACTCACCCAAACAAACTCTCCTGAGCACGAATTGGGCCACAAATCGGTTACAGGGAAGCATAGACAAACAAGCCCGACATGATAACATGCTCAAAACTCAAGAGCCCACCACAGGGCTAGTTTGCAAAAGTTGCAGCATGACACGTGGACAAGGGACAAGGGAACATTACCTGGCAACTCTAATGAACAAAATCTCACCGGTAGTGAAAACAGATCAAGTACTACAGTCGGTGAACAGTGGGTGTAGAAAGGCTTTGGGGACCACAGCTCTAGTGCAGAAGGGACCACAAAATCATCCCAAAAGGATCAACACGAAATCCAAACTATCAATTGTATAAATAGCCAATAGGGCTACAGTGCACGAGAGAGTCATCTTGTAAGCCACCAAGTAAAACCTAGGCATCGTCTTGTAAAGGTCTCAAGCCAAATATCTTGTAATAGCAATCTTCTTCTCTAAGAAATATAATTCCCACAGAGTAAGAGTCTCCTTTACGGTGGACATAACTTTAGTTTTTCGACTAAGACGAACCACTTATGTTTTGTCTTTCATTTGCAGAATACATATAGCATATAACTCCCCACTCACGTTCACCCAGATACCCACACACTCGCTGGACTTCACCCAAATCTATTTTGTAACCCGATTTAGTTAATTTCGAGCATCATAAAAAATTACAAGTGTGAAAATTTATGTCCGATTTCAGTCCATGTTTAAAAATAAAATAGAGAAGAGGATGTAAAAGTAAGGAAGTCGATAGAGTAATATTAAGAGGACAACTAAATGAAAATTATGAAAACAAGTCGTTATTTCGTAAATATATTTTGAGTGATGACCACTTTGTATGTAAGTAATATTGGGATTTGTAGACAAAATGGAGATTGAAGAGGGAGAAATTTAACCTAATTTACTAATCAAATGATGTAACAATTCACATGGTATTACATTACTCTAACTACAACTCTAACCAGATTGAAGAAGACTCACCTCATTCGGTCAACGAAATATATTATCTTTTTACATCTCAAAAATATTATTTAACTACAAAAGTACCCATAAATATGTACAGTTTTCTTTTAGTGGGGGTGAATTTTGATAAAATTTAAAATATCAAGAATATTTGATTTTTTGTTTAAATTGCATTGGCCAATGTAAATGCGTGCTGGTTATTTGTGTTTAATTAAAGTAAAATAAATTTAAATAGTTAAAGAGTTAATATAAAAAACTCAATAGTTGATTGAATAAATCAAGGTGGGGTCAAAGAAACATTTTTCTTACCCTGGCTCTCTGAAGTCCATAACAAGAATTTAGAGTTTCTTTAAGGTATCAAACAACAAATTTTAGTCTCATTTTTTTTAATTTTTGAACTAATAAAAAATGTCAAATATAAAATTTTTATTATATTTTTTTATTTAATAATTATAAATTATACCATTTAAAATTAATGACTAAAAATGATCAAGTTGTAACAATAAAGTCGGGTACGGGTAGCCTTACCACAAGAACTTGGGAATCCCAAGTTGGGATGCCATGGGATGGGACGCCACACATAGGAGAGCGTTGAAGGCTAAAGGTGGCACGCCCAACATGTCGCATCTGCACATGGTGGGTTGGGTGGGTGGGGCCCAATGCCCGTACCCTCTGCTCCAATAAAGCTCAGCACCTGCTTTTTCTCTGGTTTGACTCCGTTTCATTTTTGTGGGCCCATGGCCCCACTTTTGTCACCACTCAATTTCATTCCTCGAACTTTCACGGGAGAAATGCATGCCAAAGCTAAGAATTTTTTATCCACATAGATTCATTTTCAAACTTGAGCTACTATTTTGAAGAATTAAAAAATTGACCAAATAATTTGACCTAATATTATCTTTAGTGTTGAATAAATCTATTGTACCTATATTTTTCTTTTTAATATTATACTAAAAAATAATTTTTGATCATAAATCTTGTGATAAATTATTTGTTTAGTCATTGATAATAAAAATTAAATAATAAAATTATGCACTTGTCATTTTATAATTAGCAAAAAAAAAAAGTAATATCAAAAAATTATATTTTCACACTAAAATCTTAACCTGCAAGTGATAAAATCCTAATAAAAAAGTCATACAGTATAATTGATCCATGTTAGCTGCCACATTATTAAACTAATAAATTATGTTAAAATTTAAGTACCAATTGCATTACTCTAAACTTTATTCTTATTTTATCATATTTTTATATGAGAGCATAGTTTAAATTCAACATTTTAAATATAAAAACATATTTACAAGTTTATGTTAAAATTTTCATATTTAAAAACTTATTTAGCGAATTCATGACAATTAAGATGAATTATAATTTTTCAAAATAAAATTTATTCTATCTACACTATTAGGGTAAATGAATGGTATCGTGCCGAAAAAGGGTCTATATCATTATTTTTAAATTGAATGGCTTATAATAGTTAATTAAAAAAATAATAAAATTAAGTATTATATGTTTTTATTAATCAAAAAATATAATAAGATAGTAAAAAAATTATTTCGTTACCGTGACATCCCCACATTATTTTGATTATGTCGGAGAAATTATTGCTATAAAGGCGAACAAAGCCAAGCCAATTGGTCTGCCCACTAGCATCTACCCAATAATACAACTAATGACGTCATTCATTACGAAACCTTCCCGACAAGCTCCGGATCATCCAACCAATCATATCTTCCACGTGGAACCATCCTCATTGTCCACAGTCATGTTAGCCAACATATCCTTCTCTTATTTAATCATACATTCAAGACTAAATTACCTTCTTCGTACTGCCTACACTCCCCCAGCCATAGCTAAAACTTAACCTCACACCACAACCAGTACCTCCTCCACCATCATCAACACCAACAACATCAAGAGAGAGAGAGAGAGATTAGGTTTGATAGTTGGGAACATTTTTAACGTAAGTTTGAGGTGAAATTACCATAATTATGGGTGCTGCAGATGGCGATGAGTATCGGTTCAATTACGAAGAGACAGAGTTGCGCCTTGGGTTGCCTGGTGGAAGTGGAAATGATGGCGAAATATCAAAGAATAATAGTGGGAAAAGAGGGTTCTCAGAGACTGTTGATCTAAAGCTTAACCTTTCGTCCAAGAATTCACACGTGAATCAGGTGGAGAAGATGAAGGAAAATAATGTTTCTCCTCCTTCTACTGATCCTGCAAAGCACCCAGCCAAGTACGTTTTTTTGGGTGATGTTCTCCTCCTTCTACGCGCACACACACAAACCCAACTTTGCCTTTCATTGCATGTATAAGTTATTAAACAATCTTCTATTTCAAAAATTCAAATTTTTTAAAAAGTATATAACATAAGTGTTTATCTAATACTCTTCTTCACGTGTGGTCCTCTTTGGGTGGTTCATCCATATGATTGTTTTCATTTTTTAATTTCTTTTTGGTGAAGAGAAAGCTTGATGAGATTTAAACTCAGGGACTTCCAGACTTTGATATCATGTTAAACAACATTTTGCTCCAAAAATTTAGTGTAACGCAAGTATATATCTAATATTGGTTAGCTCATATTATGTTCGTCACAAGGGCCCTTGGGCATGCACACACACACAGATAGAGTGAGAGAGAGAGAGAAAAAGAGAGATCTAAAGATTAAAGAAGAAATTTTACGTGTGGGTCATTAAAATTTGTAATATTTTTTGTTACCGTTGTAGGTTTCTGTAATTTTTTTCTCCTTCTCTTCCGTCAATCTAACTTCTATCCTTTATTTCTTAGAGGGTGTCTAACTGTCTATCCTTCTAGCTTAAAAGCCAAGTTACTTACTATATAATCTAAAAGTTTAAGTCCTTCTAGCTTAAAAGCCAAGTCACTTACTATATAATCTAAAAGTTTAAGTGGTATGAAGAGTGCAATATAACAAGTTGTCTCTCATATAGATAAGATTTTCAATCAAATAAACCTAAAGCCCTTTAATTTTCATAGTAATTGTGAAATTCCAATACATAATTTCCTATTTTAATATAATGTTAAATTATCATCACGATTTAAAAGTTTATTCTGTTAGATTAAAGAGGGTTTAATAACATATTTTACGCTTAACGTCCTCTTTATTTATTGTCTTTTGATTTTGATCATTCTTTCTTTCTCTCTTATTTTCCTCGGCCAAAAGAAGGAAATGATTATAACCACCGACTATAGGAGATGACTATGGTACCAAAATTCAAAATTTTGGTATCATAGAGATTTAACACATTTTTGTGAGTAATTTTATCACTGTTGTGGTATCCAAAACAATAGTAAAAATATTTACCACAACAATGGTAAAAATATTCATAAATATTGTAAAAATATCCACAAATATAGTAAATCACCCACATAAATGATAATTTTTTTGTAGTTAAAAAACGTGGTAAAAATAATTACCACAAATGTGGTGAAAATACATACAAAAGTGATAAAAACATTCACAAAAGTGACAAATTAACCACAAAAATAATAAATATTTTGGTTGTAAAATGACCCATAAAAATTATAAAAATATCATTTGAAGTAGTAAATTTTAGAGGTATGACATCGAAATTTTTTTTAGTTGTACCATAGTCAAGTCCCTAACTATAATTACCTAGAGAAGACGCCACAACAAAAAAGCAAAAATGAAAATAGAGATAGAAATGAATACAAAAAAACGCAATATAAACACTTCTCCAGCTTTGGATTAATAATTAAATAGTTTTAATGTCACGTACAATATTCAGAAAAAAAAATAGTAAAATTCAGATCAGAAGGATTTTAAGGAGATGTTCCTACTTTACAACCTAACCTTTTAAAAAGTATACTTTATAAATGTGTGGCTATAGTTTGTTGTCCTGAAAAAAGAGAAAAGAACAAAACATTTGGAATCAAACATTTCCCGACAAGCAACAACAGGTTGATGGGAAAGAACATGCACCGAAAACAATTTACATTTAAACCTAAAATATTCTCACAGTTGGGACTTGACAGGGATAAGACCATTTTTGTTTTCCTTTCTAATAATGAAATATGAATAATAATATTTTTTAACTGACCTGTTACCTGTATGATAAAAGTAAGTACGAATATTTGAACTATTGAAGAATTAGTGTACTGTTTGATAATTTTTTTTAATAAAAAAAAAAAAAAGTTTCTTATTTTTTTAAGCACGTTTTAAAGTATTGTTTGTTTTTTTATTTTTCTTCATTTGAATTTGTTCATTTTCTCTAACTTTAATCTCATGCATAACAGTATATATATGCTTTCATACAAGTGTATGTATTAGCTATATAGCATGATGCACATAGTAATAACATATGGTTTTACTTTTTTGAGAGAATTATATCTTTCAAAAAAATTAATAATTACAAAAAAGTGTTATCAAACGTTAACTAAGTGGTTGGTTTGAATTTCAGGACACAAATTGTGGGTTGGCCACCAGTGAGATCATTCAGGAAGAACATTCTGTCTGTCCCAAAGAACAACAATGAAGAGGGTGAAAAGGCTAGCAGCAGCGTCGCATTTGTGAAAGTTAGCATGGATGGTGCACCATACCTACGCAAGGTGGACTTAAAAATGTACAAGAGCTACCAAGACCTTTCTCATGCCTTGGCCAAAATGTTCAGCTCCTTTACCATTGGTAAATACATTATTTCTTTTTTTTTCTTCGGTATAAAAGTTGACTTTATTGGTGAGTAAATAACATGTAAATCTCTAAAGAAAAGAACTCAACATAACGTCATCTTCATAATAAAGGCCATTACGGCAGTGAAAACTTTCCTTACTAAAATGACGGGGTGTAGCAGTATCGGAAAGCGGCGTTAAGTAACGGCCATTACACAACATACCGGCCAATTTTCAAAACTATGGGTCACTAAAGATATAACTATTACAATCTTAGCAAATAAGAGAAATAAATCAGTTTCAGGTTGAACATTGGATAAGTTCATACTGTTAAAAGTTTCAAGTGANTAGAGACCCAGAGCAGTCTCGCAAGAGAAGAGCTCATCACAACCTATTATGCTTAATAAAACACTAATGATATAAATCTCACAGCCCGAGAGACTAGATTCAAGAAAACAAGTGTAATTGCAAATAAGAGAAAAAAATCAGTTTCAGGTTGAACATTGGATAAGTTCATACTGTTAAAAGTTTCAAGTGACTAGCTCTATTAACTAGCCATCCATCTCCTTGTTGATTTTCAGGTGACTATGGCTCTGGAGGAATGAAGGATTTCATGAACGNGACTAGCTCTATTAACTAGCCATCCATCTCCTTGTTGATTTTCAGGTGACTATGGCTCTGGAGGAATGAAGGATTTCATGAACGAGAGCAAACTAGTAGATCTTTTGAACGGTTCCGATTACGTGCCCACTTACGAAGACAAGGACGGAGATTGGATGCTTATTGGTGATGTTCCATGGGAGTAAGTTCTTGTTATTTCTATATGTTTTAAGTTCTCTAAGCTTCCAAGTTGTTTTTCAAAACTAATTTTGATTCTCTTCAATCAGCATGTTTGTTGATTCATGCAAACGCTTGAGGATAATGAAAGGGTCAGAAGCCATAGGACTAGGTGAGTAGAGCAGCTCTTTGCAATTATTCTAATTAAGGACAATTAACTTTTTTCATTTGTTGTTTTAAGGTTATTTCTTTTCTATAAAACTTTTAGAGACCGTTTGGTAATTCTTTGGAGAGAAACAGTCTGACTATTCTCTACACTTATCTTGTTCACAAAACATTAAGTTTCTGCTTTTCTTAATCTTATTACAATTGATGTAATGGTTGCAGCGCCAAGGGCAGTGGAGAAGTGCAAGAACAGAAGCTGAATCAGTTACCAAAACTTCTTCATGTAATGATTTCCCAGTTATCAAACTAAGGCAGATGGATCGGCTCGAGACAATTTGAGCTTCAAGTTTGGATTTATCTTTATAACTGTTTAATATGTAAATGTGAGAAGAAAATAAATGCATAATTGTTAAGAAGGAGTAGAAATTGCAGTTGTGCTCATGTGTATTTTATTTATTTGTAATGGCTTTGTTCAATATTAATGGCGTCTGCTTTTTGTTTGCTGAGATTCTCAGCAACCTGTACACTAATTATTAACGAATTGTTTGATGTGTATATAATTGTTTTATGTTACGTTATATGAGAAGTTGAGGAGACCATGAATAAGATCCATAGATAGAGTCATTGGGGGACAAGGCCATGTGCACTCATTTGGAGACATTTATGAATGAATCCCTTTATTTTATTTTGGTGTTGATCCCATTGGGTTGTGCTTCAATGATGTAGGGACTACTATTGTTTCTTTAATATATGAAGGATAAAATGAAGAGAGACAAGATCGAGANTGATCCCATTGGGTTGTGCTTCAATGATGTAGGGACTACTATTGTTTCTTTAATATATGAAGGATAAAATGAAGAGAGACAAGATCGAGATGGGATAAATTGTGTACTAGGTCAAGGTCAATATTGATTACTGAATTTTTTTTTTTTTTGAGTCTAAACGATAGAAATTTTATTGAGTTAAATATGAGAGAAGAGATGGTATCAAAAAATCTAGTGTCACGTCTTCCCAAACATCAATATCTTAACCTAATATGGCATTTCCAGCCAATTGGTGACCCACACTATTTTCTGACCGTCTAACAGTGGACAAAGTATAAAAAATAAACAGGGGAAGAAATCGTTACACATTTGCAATAATAACACCAATAGGAAATTTTTTTTTTTCAGAAATATCGTCCATCCTCTCTATGATTGCAGAAGAATCCCCTCTCAACCCAATCTCATCATACCCAATTTTCCTAGCAAAAAACACAAATTCCCTTGCAGCTATAGTCTCTGCAGTTTGTGCTTCTCCCAAATCAATTAACTTTTTAGACATCCCAATGATAAACGACCCAACTTCATCGCCAATAACCACCCCTACTCCAATAGTACCCTCTCAAACACTGTCCCATCAAAGTTAACCTTAAAGGGTCTAGATCTAGGAGGAACCCAACGTTCTGGTGCACGTTCCTGACTAGCACCCTGGCCAGAATCCAAAACTTGCTCATATTGCGAAATACACTACATGTCCATATGACAAAACACTACTGGGTCATTTCACCTCTATTGCAACAGAACCTCATTCCTGTTACGCCAAATATACCAACACAACACCAAGAAAATTGCACCAAATTTCGACTTAAACTGCAAAATAATTTTTCAAAACCAATCGACAATGTTCCCAGCAACTCGATATATTAAATGACAAAGAGAATTCACATTCTACACCTATCTCGCCCATGGACATGCTTTAATGATATGTATCATAGTTTCAACAACCTCCCCACATACACAACATACCTCATTCGGTCTAATTTTTCNTATCTCGCCCATGGACATGCTTTAATGATATGTATCATAGTTTCAACAACCTCCCCACATACACAACATACCTCATTCGGTCTAATTTTTCTACGCCACAAATTTTTGTTAATAGGAAGAGCATTTAAGATTATCTTTCATGCAAAAATTTTAACTTCACTGGGAACATTTTGATTCCACAAAGTACCCCAATTACCCCCTGAATTTGATGACAAACCAACACTAGTACAACCCGAATGGAATAAATTCTTTTCATATGCTAAATGGTACACACTCCGAACTGGGAATCTGTCATGATCATTATAATGCCAAATTAACTTATCTCGCATAAGCAACACACCTAAATGGATGCTTTTAATAACCTTTGGTTCATGCTGCAANACTACTATTGTTTCTTTAATATATGAAGGATAAAATGAAGAGAGACAAGATCGAGAAGGGATAAATTGTGTACTAGGTCAAGGTCAATACTGATTACTGAATTTTTTTTTTTTTTGAGTCTAAACGATAGAAATTTTACTGAGTTAAATATGAGAGAAGAGATGGTATCAAAAAATCTAGTGTCATGTCTTCTCAAACATCAATATCTTTACCTAATTTGGCCTTTCAAGCCAATTGGTGACCCACACTATTTTCTTACCGTCTAACAGTGGACAAAGTATAAAAAATAAACAGGCGAAGAAATCGTTACACATCTGCAATAATAACAGCAATAGGAATTTTTTTTTTTTCAGAATTATCATCCATCCTCTCTATGATTGCAGAAGAATCCCCTCCCAACACAATCTCATCACACCTAATTTTCCTAGCAAAAAACACAAATTCCCTTGCAGCTATAGTCTCTGCAGTTTGTGCCTCTCCCAAATCAATTAACTTCTTAGACATCCCAATGATAAACGACCCAACTTCATCGCCAATAACCACCCCTACTCCAATAGCTCCCTCTATGTCAAACATTGTCCCATCGAAGTTAACCTTAAAGGATCTAGATCTAGGAGGAACCCAACGTTCTGGTGCACGTTCCTAACTAGCACCTTGGCCAGAATCCAAAACTTGCTCATATTGCGAAATACACTACATTTCCATATGACAAAACACTACTGGGTCATTTCACCTCTATTGAAAGAGAACCTCATTCCTGTTACGCCAAATATACCAACACAACACTAAGAAAATTGCACCAAATTTCGACTTAAGTTGCAAAATAATTTTTCAAAACCAATCGACAATGTTCCCAGCAACTCGATATATTAAATGACAAAGAGAATTCACATTCTACACCTGTCTCGCCCATGGACATTCTTTAATGATATGTATCATAGTTTCAACAACCTCCCCACATACACAACATACCTCATTCGATCTAATTTTTCTACGCCACAAATTTTTGTTAATAGGAAGAGCATTTAAGATCATCTTTCATGCAAAAATTTTAATTTCACTGGGAACATTTTGATTCCACAAAGTACCCCAATTACCCCCTGAATTTGATGACGAACCAACACTAGTACAACCCGAATGGAATAAATTCTTTTCATATGCTAAATGGTACACACTTCGAACTGGGAATCTATCATGATCATTATAATGCCAAATTAACTTATCTTGCATAAGCAACACACCTAAATGGATGCTTTTAATAACCTTTGGTTCATGCTGCAAGAAGACAACATCAATCAAAGAAGTTTTCCAAAGAGGTGTAGCTGGATCAATAAGCTTACTAACCATAACATTTTCCTCCAAAAAATTCTTTGGGTTGACCACTCAGAAAGTAGATAGGGTAGGAACTAGTTCTAAATTTACGTTTTGTAGTTGACGAGTCGTATCACTTGCCCATAAGAGCATCTTCAACAAATGATTTAAAACACACAAAATCTTCAAATTCTAATTATTTAACCTAAAAATTTCATTCTAACAAATTATCTTTAATACATATAAAATAACATTTTATTACAGCGATACTCTATATTTACAGTATCACTGTAGCGATTTATAAAAAAAATTTATAATATTTTCTCACTCTTCCTATCTTTTCTTCCGTTTTCTCTTTTTCTCTTTTTCACTATTTCCAAAAAAAATAATACAAAAGGACTAAAAAATAATATTTAAAAAGAGTAGTTAAAAATAAAAANAAAAATTATCTTTAATACATATAAAATAACATTTTACTACAGCGGTACTCTATATTTACAGTATCACTGTAGCGATTTATAAAAAAAATTTATAATATTTTCTCCCTCTTCCTATCTTTTCTTCTATTTTCTCTTTTTCTCTTTTTCACTATTTCCAAAAAAAATAATACAAAAGGACTAAAAAATAATATTTAAAAAGAGTAGTTAAAAATAAAAAAAATCTGTTAGACTGTATATTAAAAAATTGAGTAATTAAAATAAAAAATATTATTTTTTAAATAACTAAAATAACTTTTGTTGTCGAAGATGCGGTAAATAGTTTGGCAAACTCGGAACACCAGGCAATAAGTATAGATCAATAGGGAAATTGGCAGCTTTATTATGCACTTCCAATAATACACGCATCACCACCNATGTGGTAAATAGTTTGGCAAACTCAGAACACTAGGCAATAAGTATAGACCAATAGGGAAATTGGCAGCTTTATTATGCACTTCCAATAATACACGCATCACCACCACAAAGCATCTTCAACCTCTTGTTCGGTTTGAAAAAAAACCCTTAAACCTCCATAGATGAGCATGCACAAGCTTCTGCAAATCATCTTTAAAACAAGTTCAAAGAGTATCAAGGGTTTAGCTGACTTCACCAGTGGAGACAAAGAGACAAATAATTATAAATTCTCTAAAATTTTAAACGAATCCCAAATGTCTTTTGAATTGCAGTGGGGGCAACTGCTAGAGAGTGTCTTTCTAGTTTCAAATTTCTGAACTTTGATAATTAGATAGTTGAAGGATGATTATTTTGGTTTTAGACGTAACTTTAAGGATTTATTTAGATGGTTGAANATGCACAAGCTTCTGCAAATCATCTTTAAAACAAGTTCAAAGAGTATCAAGGGTTTAGCTGACTTCACCAGTGGAGGCAAAGAGACAAATAATTATAAATTCTCTAAAATTTTAAACGAATCCCAAATGTCTTTTGAATTGCAGTGGGGGCAACTGCTAGAGAGTGTCTTTCTAGTTTCAAATTTCTGAACTTTGATAATTAGATAGTTGAAGNTTTTGAATTGCAGTGGGGGCAACTGCTAGAGAGTGTCTTTCTAGTTTCAAATTTCTGAACTTTGATAATTAGATAGTTGAAGGATGATTATTTTGGTTTTAGACGTAACTTTAAGGATTTATTTAGATGGTTGAACTTTGACACACGCGTCCCTTATGTGTTTCATGATTATTAGTTAGTTCATGTCCATTCATAAATTTTGGGGCATGACACATACATTGCATAAACTCAAAAATTACACACAATATTAGATAAATTCTTGTTTTACACCTTTTTTAAATTTTTAGATGAGATAGTGTTGAATATGATCTCAGTATAAAGATCTTGAGCTCAAATCACACTTAGACCTCCTTATGTAATCGTTTGGTTCAACATCACCCTCATTGTCCTAGCTAGTTGTTATAAACTTGTTCAGTGTTTTGATTCGCCCCCAATACGAGTGGCATATGCTTTTTGTTTCCTGAGATTCTCTGAAAATACGTATACTATTAATTAATGAAACTAGTTACTGGATATATGATTTATTTAACGTTTCTCTGATTGAGGAGGGCATGAACAAGATCTTTAAATCAACTCATTGGGGACAAGTCCATGTGCATGTTTGTTGGGGACAATTAAGGATCCCATTATTTTATTTTAGTGTTGATCCAATTAGGTTGTGTTTCAATGATGTATGGGCTAACACACTGTTCCTTTAA